GAAAGAGTAGGGATAGGAAGTAATTTGTTTACTATACTATGTGCTTTGTATAATTTTTACTTAATTATATCCATAAAACATAAAAAGAATGAACTACAGCCATTTACCTTAAATATATATTGATGTTTGCTATCCTCAGACCCAAAAGGGCTTTCAAAATATTCATTTGGCCCATGGGCCAGCCCAACCCAGCCTCAAGGGCTGGCATGATCCCATTTAATCACAATCCACCACAACAATTAGCTAATTATATTCAAAGAAGTAAGGAAAAAAAGAGACAAAACTAAAAGGGATGAAGTACTTGATTATTTGAACTTCAACTGGATACAGTAGAAAACAGATTACAAAGGAAAGTGTGTCTCATAAAATAGGATAGAGAAATTAGTAATAAATTCAGTTGTCGAAGAAAAATACAGCTTTTGCTAAAAGTTTACAACAAATTAAGACTAGGCCAGTTCGACTTCCGATGAAATTACCTCTGTTCTTGAGGAAGAATATAGGTAAGGCTTTGGAGGAATTTGCAGAAAGTCTAGGTTCCCTTCTAACATTTCCACAACTTTGCTCATCGATGGTCGACTTGAGGGATCAGTCTGTATGCACCACAAACTCGCCATCACCATCTTTCTTGCACATTCTTTCTCCTCTTCATTCATTATCCCAATTAATTGGAGCTCTTCATCTAGCTCAATTCGTCGATAGAGCCAATGTGGAAAGTAGATTTCACTCGTACGATCAACTCCAACATCAACATTTTTTCTTCCTCCTACCATCTCTAGGACCATCATTCCGTAGCTATAGACGTCAGACTTGTGAGAGACACCTCCCAAGCTTCTGCAAATAATTTCTGGAGCAATATAACCGATAGTCCCTCGTGCACCTAACATTGACACAATGCTTTCCTTTTTCATGCACAGTTTGGCTAGTCCAAAGTCAGAGATCTTAGGACAAAAATCTTCATCAAGTAGGATATTATGAGGCTTTATATCAAAATGCAAAATCCGAGTGTTACAACCACGGTGCAAGTACTCCAATCCTCGAGCAATGCCTAGTGTGATTTTGTACAGTATTGGCCAACCCAATTGGCGAACACTGTCAGATCTTTCCTCATAGATAAACTTTTCAAGAGATCCATTTGGCATGAACTCATATACGAGAGCTCTTTTGTGACCCTCAAAACAAAATCCCACAAGACTCACGATGTTAACATGCGATGTTCTGCTAATACTTGCCACCTCGTTAATGAAATCTTCACCACTGCCTTTTAGTTTATTCAGGATCTTCACTGCCACTTGACTCCCGTTACGCAAACTTCCTCTGTATACATTACCAAATCCTCCTTGGCCTAGTTTGCTTCTGAAGTGACTGGTGATTCTTTTGATGTCTGTCTAATTGTATCTGTTTAGAGCATATGATCCATAGTTCTTTAAGAATTCTTCAACTTTTTGGTGATCCTCAGCATTAGATTCCCAAAACCTGAGGCATTTGTACCACAAAATCTTCTCTCTGAAGCAGAAGAGTAAAACCAACAGTCCAACTGTAAACAAAACTGCACCTGTGGAAAGCAAAATGAAGTCATGCACCATCAGAGAGTATAAATTAAATTCAGTCTGGAAGTCCTATGAACTATTTGGGGAACAGTCTGTGTTTTGGACAATTCATATAGAAGATACGTACAGAGACAAGAAATACAAGTCGAAAGAGCAAAAGGGAAGCAATGGTATCTATGAAACTGCAGTGCCAGTTACAGAGAAGAAAAAAGAAGATGAGTTACCTGTCGCCACCATGAACCAGGTTGTTCGAAGATGAGTTAAATTTCTAACACCTGCAATACATTAAAAGCAAAACTTTAAAGATCTTTTAAATAAACCTCAATAGAGAACAGCAGAGCCAGAATTCTTTCCACGAAGTTGGTTGATACGATATTAAGTTTCAGTTGCTCATACCTTTGAAAAGAACTATATTCATGTTCACCACCAACCGAGCATTTCCCTCCTTTGTCAAGACACTCAAGACAATTTTTGGAAAGCTCCCAGTTTAGAAGTGCACTAGAAGTCAACAGTTCAAACAAGCCACCTGCATATGATTTTGATGGTGTAGGCAATGGAATTGGCAACTGTACAAGTGAACAGTGCTCTGGAAGTTTGCCACTTATCTTAGCACTAGTATTTCCTAATATTGTTTTATTGGGATGGTGATAGTAAACATTAAAACCTTCACACTCAGTATATCTATCAAAATCTTTGAAAAAGGAATCATTTGTCTTCTGGATGGTGTTGTCATGACTATGTTTGCATCTGTACAAGGTTAAGTTAGGAACAATTTGGAAAGAAATCAAAGGGGAATTTGGAAATGAGAAGAAGTTTCTGTTAAAAAACTTGCAACTTTTGTTAGCTAAGTACTCTTGAAGTTTAGGATCTGAAATAAGGAAAAAATCACCCTTCTTCACTAAAGCATCATAATTTTGTCCACCAAGTTCAATCTTAGATATGGTTTAGTATGACAATCAAACCTGCATAATCCACACTGAGGGTTGCTGGAATTTGTGAAAGTAAACTTCATAGCTCCAAGGCCTCCACACTCAAATTCATCGGCGCAGTTGGATTTTGAGTTACCTAGTACTTGATGTAGGCTAAAGATCACTAAACAACACAAAAACAAGAAAGCAGAAGCCATACCCTGTACTCTATATGGACCTAAAAAGCAAGAAAGCTGGAGCTATAGTTTCTTATGCAATATCAAACTTGTAATCTGGTTTTCTATGATGCTGATTTGGAACTTTTCCACAAAGACTGAGAAAAAAAGGAAACAAGCTTCAAGTGAGGGCCAGGATGGAAGACTTTTCCACTCTCCTTCCTCATTGACTTGAATTGTTGACTCTTAATCATCTATGAGATACTTCTTCTCCTTTTGTGTTAAGCATAATCTAATATAGAAAGACGGTGTCTTTACGAAGTAAAAGGTGCAGCATTTTGGCTCACATCATATATCTGTGAGAGAAAGGGAAGTTGGTAAGTATATCGGTTATGGTCATTTTCCTGTGAACTATAAAGGTATTTTAATTTAGGTTAAAAGCCAATTGAAAAAAATGCTCCTCCTCAATTTTTGCTTTGGTAGTTGATGCTGGATTTTTTTCATTGTTCTTGAACTTGCAAAATTTCTTCTTTTTTCCTTTTCTTCTTTTGATTTTGTTCTTCAAAAACACATGCGATGACATTGTATTGTGTACAAGTTTTTTTGAAAGTGCTTTAATCTAAACTTTTGTATGATTTGCAGAGAGATTGTAAGGGTTTTCTTCCATCACAACCTCACATATCACATATGTTTCAAAATATGGTTTTATTCTCACAGACCAAATTTGATAGTTTTTGTCTGTGAATTTTTTTGGGGCATTGAAAGAGAGACTACTGCTTGCCATTATTTTTATTTAAAAATTGGTTTAGAAATGCATGTCCGTTGAAAAAAAACACGGGTTGAAAAGGTTGCCCTTATGGATTAAAATTTGCTATAGCATACAAATATGAATTTTGTGTTTGCTATATGTGAAAGTTGCTCTTCTATGAAAGCGTGCATGTAATGAGTAATAAAATATAGCAATGACAAATTAATCTTAAAAAAACATGACAAGAAATAAAAATGAGGGACATATTTTAATGTTTAAAATTAATTCTTTTTAAGTAACCAACTACAAATTTCGAACTTTGCGTAGTAGTTAGCAAACTTCTAATAAAGTCATGAATGTCAAATTTGAGCTCAATAAAAATATAGATTCACGACAATAAAGAATTTAATATAAAATTAAACCAAAAAAGTCTAGTAAAGAAAAAACACAAAGATATACAATAAAAAGGAAAAATACAACATAAACATCCTTCATAAACCTTTAATCATAACAATATAGTCAAAAAATAATATACAAATCAATACATAATTTTTCTAGTTCTTGTCGACACCTTCTTTCATCACCAATATAAATTTAAGAGTCGTCTTCATAGAGTCAAACTAAAGTATGACTTAAATTAAATAATACAATGATTCACCATTTTAACTATAGAATGAAAAGAATAATAATCTTAGGTAGCCGTTGAAACTAAAAAAAATGAATTTGTATATATAAAAATTAAGGAATATCAAAAGGTATAGGCTATGAATATAAAATATATGAGAGTTATGAACATTAAATATATCAATTGAATGAGTAATTGTATATAAGATATGAAGATTAATATTTAGAGCAAATAAAAGAGAAAAGTATTACTTAAATACTAAATAAATTGACCAGATTTAATTGTTATAGATTGGCTCGTGTGTTCAAGTGTTACAGAAGAGATCGTAGACTCAACGAAATAATACCCATATGAGAAAGATAAAGTTAAAATGGATTGCTATGATTATTTGTATGCTCATTTTTCATCAGTCAAATTATTCAATGGAGGAGTAGAAAAGCCAACAAAGTGACAGTTATAATTTTCATTAAATGGAAAAGGAAACATAAAAATAATGAGGAAAAGTACTTAATGAGTCAAAAATACAAAAAATAAAAAAATATAATAATAAATAAAAATACCTATGATTTTTTTATTTAAAAAGCTTAACACCTCTCATTCTTATTACTTTTCAATTTTCAGATTAGACATACTTCAATAAAAAAAAAAAGGAGAAAATGCATAAGTACCCCCAATCTATGCCCAAAATTCCTGAGACACACCTAACCTTTAATAAGGTCCTATTACCCCCCGAACTTATTTTATAAATAATTTTCTACCCCTTTTCGGCCTACGTGACATTATCCTTGAAAAAATTGTCAACACACGTTGGGCCCACAAGATAGTGCCAAAACTAGACATTAAAGAGGACCCGTGCCTGTTCAAATACCATGTGAAAGTGTGTGACCATCTCATCTAAAAGCTTTAACTATTAAAGAGAACACACTTTTATTTACTTAGAATTCCCAACACTAGAATGTTATGCTGTCTTGATATAACATTCTTCTCAATGATCCCTTTTGTATTTTTTTCTTAGAGAAGAATCATGTAAACAATTCACATACTACTTTCTAATTGCTAATTTTATTTCAATGCAACGCTCAAGGATCGAGTCTTAGCAGATTTTGCTTTTTTTTCCATAAAGATGTAAAACAAAAAAACGAGTTTTCTTTCTTTATCCAAAATATAAAGTGATGGGAAAAAGAAATGAATGACAAGGAAATAGAAAAGGGATACAAGATAGCATGGTTTCTCAGACAATTACCCTATCACTCCCAAGAACGTCGAAAGGGATATTTGTTTCTCTTGTATATCATAATGCAGCTCCATTATCATAACATCTTACTTAGCTTGCAACAAGTTCAATCTGGTAAATAGCACAGATGAAAAGATCGGATATCGATGGACCCTTTGGGTCCTCACTACCTAGTCTGCAATTCACATAAGAACACCTTGATCAAACTTTTCTTCTTGAAAATATAACTCAGTAGAAAATTGAGAACAGTAAGTCAAGAATACTAAATTCCAGAAAGAGGGAGACAAGTCTAGGTGATACCCATTTTAACGGTCTCACAGTGGTCGAGGATATCAGTTATAGTCTCCTTATTTGGTCTTGGACAGACCTCATTTTATATGCTAACTTTTGGGGTTGAATTAGACCCCAGATCCATTTTCTTAACAATGATTAGGGACATGCCAACCACCATATATCTGTAGAAAGAGACCACAATTGGGCTAACCAATAAGGCAATACCATTCTCAAATTGTCTGGAAATTATCTTGTAACCAGACAATTACTGAACAGGTAAAATGAAAAGCTCTAATTAGGTCTCCTTATTGTGCTGACAATTATGGAATTCCGCTAGGCAAATCACTCTTCTTTTAGCATTAAATCATATATTACTAAAAGTGGGAACAAAAAAAATTAAAAGTTGAAATACCAAAATACCCCTATAAAGTTGAGTTACTACAATAATGCCATTAATATATTTAATAAGTTAAAAGTTATAATACCAAAATATCCCTATAAAGTTGAGTTACTACAACAATGCTAACACAGTGAAAGAAATATATATATATATATATATATATATATATTATTAATAATAAATTTTAGCTTAAATTGATAGACATTTTTACTCTTTTAAAAACTAAATTAGTTATACTTTTTTAATTTTTTTTATTTTTAAATAAAATATTTTCACTTTTCACCAGTTTACTCAACATAAAGTTTATCTTTTTATTAAAATAAATTTTCTAATTATTATAAAAATGAATGTCCTAATTATTGTAATTAAGAAGACTAAAGTTAGTCTCTTTGCCTACCATGCATGACTATTCATTTTCTTGCCTAATCATATCGTATTATAAATAATTTCTAATTATTATAAAAATGAATGTCTTAATTATTGTAATTAAGAAGACTAAACTTAGTCTCTTTGCCTACCATGCATGACTCTATTCATTTTCTTGCATAACCATATCATATTATTATTATTATTATTATTATTATTATTATTATTATTATTATTATTATTATTATTATTATTATTATTATTATTATTATTATTATTATTATTATTATTATTATTATTATTATTATTATTATTATTATTATTATTATTATTATTATTATTATTATTATTATTATTATTATTATTATTATTATTATTATTATTATTATTATTATTATTATTATTATTATTATTATTATTATTATTATTATTATTATTATTATTATTATTATTATTATTATTATTATTATTATTATTATTATTATTATTATTATTATTATTATTATTATTATTATTATTATTATTATTATTATTATTATTATTATTATTATTATTATTATTATTATTATTATTATTATTATTATTATTATTATTATTATTATTATTATTATTATTATTATTATTATTATTATTATTATTATTATTATTATTATTATTATTATTATTATTATTATTATTATTATTATTATTATTATTATTATTATTATTATTATTATTATTATTATTATTATTATTATTATTATTATTATTATTATTATTATTATTATTATTATTATTATTATTATTATTATTATTATTATTATTATTATTATTATTATTATTATTATTATTATTATTATTATTATTATTATTATTATTATTATTATTATTATTATTATTATTATTATTATTATTATTATTATTATTATTATTATTATTATTATTATTATTATTATTATTATTATTATTATTATTATTATTATTATTATTATTATTATTATTATTATTATTATTATTATTATTATTATTATTATTATTATTATTATTATTATTATTATTATTATTATTATTATTATTATTATTATTATTATTATTATTATTATTATTATTATTATTATTATTATTATTATGAAAACTATAAAGAAGATGTAAGTCAAAAATTGAATAATAAAAATAAAAATAAATATATTAATAGAGAATTGTAAGATATTTTTGCCTTTTTAAAAACTAAATTAATTACATTTTTAACCTTTTCATTAATATTAATTTTCCGACCAATGTACATGCCCTTACTTAAAAAAATTGAAAATCTCATTAATTTGATTGTAATTAGTTCTATTTTTTTTTCTCCTTTATTTATTATTTTTTCCTTTATTTTTTTAGATATTCACTTTCATAATTCATATCTAATTAATTACTTATTGCTACTTTTAATTAATATCCATTATATTCTCATGTTTTTCATATTCATAACCTTCAAATATTTACTTTATAACTTTAAGATATCCTTTGATATTCCTCCATTTTTATCTATATAGATTCATCTTTTTTATTTCAAAAGACCTCTATTCAAGGTTAACTTTTTTCATTCTATAGTTAAAATAATGAAGCACTTATGTCATTATTGTGCTATTTGATTCATGCATTGATTTGACTCGATGTAGAGGCCTCTTGAATTATTATCGGTTATGGGATAAGGTGTCAACAAGAATTCGAAAAATTATGTATTCAATTATTTATTTTGTCCATCTATATTATTATGATAAAAAATTTAAGAATGATGTGTATTGTATTTTCTATTCTTCTCTATTTATTTTTGTATTTTATCTCTATTAGACCTCTTTAATTTGATTTTTTATGAATTTCTAATTGTAGCAAGTCTGTCTTTTTATATGGGCTGGAATTAGTCATTTGTGACTTTATTGGAACTGTGTTAACTACTTAACAATGTTTAAAATTTACAGTTGGATACTTAAAATACGTCACTCATTTGGTGTTTCTTATCAAACTTTTAAAGATTAATTTGTAATTGTTGCATTTGATTACTTATTATACATGTATTTTTATAGAATCTTAATCATTCTAACAAATCTATAATACTATAAGTAGAAACAAAAAAAGTTAAAAGTTGAATTGCGGTTTTTCCCCTACTATTAATTAGAAGAATGTTAGGCAAAAGTTAGATTACCGTTTTACCCCTACATTAAATTTAAATGTTATAAGCTATTAATAAATTAAATATTAAATAATTATTATATCATATTATTATATTATTATACTAATGCTAATCAGTATATACCTGCTTGTTTGTTTTAACCGTATTTTATTTTTGATTTTCTTCCTAATCTAAATTACTCTCCCATTACCTATAAATGTTCACTTATTGCTATAGTAATTATATTAAAGAAGGAGAATGAAGAGTTGCACGGTATTAATTACGACAGAAATGTTCACTTATTGCTTCAACAATAATAATGATGAATAAGGAGAACGAAGAGTTGGGGTAATTTACTATCAGAGTCAATATTATATTTCTGTAGCAAAAGGTCACCCGATGGTTATATAGCAAAAATGCATGATTATTAAACAAACTTTTCATTTCACTCTAAATACATTAGTTGATCACTTATCACTTTCATTATATTCTTTTTTTTTACAGGAGAAAAATGTATGTGTACATTCTAAAACTTCATACGGAGCTTGCAATGTGATGGGAATGAATGTTGAAAATCTTTGCAGAGGTTGAAATTTATCTTTTCACAAAGTTGGCCTTCTAACAAGCATAGTAAGTAACTAATACATTTTCATGTTTTGAAAACTTCTCTTTTAATATTTTATTTTTAGGCAATTATTGAAGGAATTCAGCGCGTTTTCATTGATTTACATACTTTGGGTAAGTGAGATGAAAACTCTCTTCTTCATTTCTTTGTCATTTGACTTAATTATGTTATGTAAGTTGATCATCGAAAAGATGCTACATTTATCTTTCTGTCGTTAATTTTATTCCCCTTATTTTATAAGAGCTTAGTTTTTCCCGTTTCATATCATACCTAGGCCCTAGCTAGCTACAATCTTTGGAAGAAAATTATTACAGATAATAATGATGGTCATATCTAAGTATTATGTTGATTACCTAATTTTTTATTGCATTCAACTAAGTACCGGCTCAAAGTAGACAAAAAAGTCATCCACGTTAGTGACGTTTAGGTGCACTTCTTAAATTTAGAGCAAGAGTTCATTGATATGTCACATATCATCAGATGCTATATTATCTTAATTAGTTTTACATAATTCAACATATCTTTTTTTCCAAACAAATAACTAAAAGCTAAATGAAAAGAATTAGTTGTCACCCTTATATTTGTACAGCGAAACATATATTTAGATATTTTAGTCTACAAGATTATATTTGAAATCCTTCTTATCATTTATTTTTGGATGCAAAAGTAAGCTTTATATAGAAACATATTAATCAATACAAGCTTTATCGTATTTATAAAAATATAATGTGATAAATATTTATATAAACATGAGATTAGACTTACATAAATTTTAGATCGTAATAGAAGACAAACGTGCAGCGCACGTTCCCAGGACTAGTCATAAAGAAAAACATGAATGTATAGCTTCCTACATTCAAGGACATCTAAACACATCAGAAACCGAACCTGTAACAATACCAGTTTTTGCTACAATTACATAACAAAATGTGACTACAGTGATATTAGCTGAGATATGAACACATAAAGACTAGGCCAGCTCCAGTACTGATGAATCTATATCTGTTCTTGAGGGAGAATAAAGATAAGGCTTGGAAGGCATTTGCAGAGAGTTTAGTTTCCCTTCTAACATTTCCACAACCTTGCTCATCGATGGTTGACTTGAGGGATCAGTCTGTATGCACCATAAACTCGCCATCACCATCTTTCTTGCACATTCTTTCTCTTCTTCATTCATTGTTCCGATTAATTGAAGCTCTTCGTCTAGCTCAATTCGTCGATAGAGCCAATGTGGAAAGTAGATTTCACTCGTACGATCAACTCCAACATCAACATTTTTTCTTCCTCCAACCTTCTCTAGGACCATCATTCCATAGCTATAGACACCAGACTTGTGCGACACACCTCCCAAATTTCTGCAAACAATTTCTGGAGCAATATAGCCTATAGTCCCTCGTGGACCTAACATCGACACGATACTCTCCTCTTTCATGCACAGTTTGGCAAGACCAAAATCAGAGATCTTAGGACAAAAATTTTCATCAAAAAGGATATTATGAGGCTTTATATCAAAATGCAAAATACGAGTGGTACAACCACGATGCAAGTACTCCAATCCTCGAGCAATGCCTAGTGCTATTTTGTACAGTATTGGCCAACCCAATTGGCGAACACTGTCGGATATTTCCTCGTATATAAATTTTTCAAGAGATCCATTTGGCATAAATTCATATACGAGAGCCCTTTTACATCCCTCAAAACAAAATCCCACAAGGCACATGACGTTAACATGTGAGGTCTTGCTAATACTTGCTACCTCGTTAATGAATTCTTCACCACTGCCTTTTAGTTTCTTCAGGACCTTCACAGCCACATGACTTCCATTATGCAGACATCCTTTGTATACAGAACCATATCCTCCTTGACCAAGTTTATTTTTGAAGCCACTGGTGATTCTTTTGACTTCTAAATAGTTGTATCTCTTTGGAGCACATGACCCATAGTTCTTTAAAAATGCTTCAATATTTTGGTGATCCTGAGCATTAGATTCCCAAAACCTGATGTATTTGTACCCCAAAAATCTTCTCTCTAAAGCAGAAGAGTAAAACCAACAGTCCAACTGTAAACAAAACTGCACCTGTGGAAAGCAAAAGTGAAGTCATGCACCATCAGAGAATATAAATCAAACATCGACAGGAGAAAGAATGTCCTCTCAACTCCACTGTCGGTTCGTTGTGTAATCCAAAGTACTTGTCTCTCCAATTTTTGAGATTTTAACCACAATGAAGAAGAAAGAACCCTGCAGCTAATGAATATTAATTACCTGCTCCCAGAGCCAGTCCCCACTTGCTTCTAGTCATTTTTGTATCTAAAAGAAGAGGACAAACACTATGAAATATTATCAATATTTGATACGAAAACGAGAAAGGACTTTATGAAATATGCACTAGACCTTGAGCATGTGGATTATTTTCTTGATGACTTTGAGCTTGTGGATTATTTGGATATGTACAGTGAAATTTGTTGGTTATATCAGTCTGGCATTGACCTCTGCCATAGTGACATTGGTTACAGTCCTCAGACAGCTTCCATTCTACTGCAAAAGTGGCGCTTAACATATTGAACAAACCACCATCATCTGATCTCGAGTGGACTGGCAATCTGATAAGTGAACAGTTGGCAGGAAGATTGCCTGCTCAAACGTCTTCGTCTTCACCTTGGCGAAGATTGTAGTATATGCTGAAGTCTTTACAGACACTGTACATTTTATAACCAGCAAAATAATCGTTCCTCTTCTGGGTAATTTTTGAGATGTTACTACTAGTGATGTTGCATTTGAAGAAGTTGAGACTATTCATGATTTTGAAAGAAACAGAAGGAGAGTTTGATAGGGTGAAATTTTCGTTAAAGTTTGGCACTTGTGTTGCATCAACATGGTTTGAAACTTGGGGTCCCCGAACTCAACTATATAACTATACAACATGTCTAAAGCATAATACCAATCTCCACCAGAAAGTAGTTGGATTCTTGGAACTGGTTTAGCATCACAACCAGATAAGAACATTATTCCACAGTCAGGTTGTGTGGTAAGAGAGAAAGGAAAGCTCAGGTCAGTAAGATTTCCACATGAAAAGGACTTTGGACAAGTTGAATCACTTCTTCCCTTTGTCTGAACTAAGTAACTGATCAGAAGAAAGCATATAAAAGAAGTGAAAGTCATATTAAATCCTCCAACTGATCAAGCAAAAGTCACTTCCTATCTCAAGAAGAGGAAAAAATATGAATTCAGTTGTTCACTGCACTTGCATTTAATAGCATAGTGAATGTGGAAAAAACATATAATAAGGGCTGTGAGGAAATCTTCAAAGCACCTTATTGTCAACAGAAAGACTTGAAAGTCATGTAGCAATAACTAGACTACATTTTCAAGCATAGTGAAAGAAAATGACTTGATATGTATCCAGGATGCACTTCATTTTAAGATATCCTCTCAGACCCAAAAGGGCTTTCAAAATATTCATTTGGCCCATGGGCCAGCCTCGGTCATGTCTCAAGGGCCGGTTGGCTTTCTTGGGCTGGGCTAAAAGGCCTCGGTCTTTTCAATGGACTCAAATAAAATTTAGTTCAGCCCTTACTCTTAAATAAAGGGCTAGGCACCAAACCATGATAGCATAACTTCATCAGCTAACAGATGAAACAAGCTACTATCATTTGATTTATCTGCTGAATTTGCTGTCAAAGGACAGCTACTAGGAAGAGCATATCCTGGATAATAATTGACTGGTATGTTATAGTATAGTATGAAACTATCACATGTTAGAGTGAGTCCCAAATTGGTTGGGGAATGGACATGTGGTGTCCTTATATGGACTTGGACAATCCTCCCCTCATGAGCTAGCTTTTGGGGTTGAGTTAGGCCATTTACCATATCTTTACATGGTATCAGAGTCTAGTCCTGGGTGTGAAGGGGGTGTCAGAGTGGGTAAAAGTCCCACATTGGTTGAGAAATTTTTATCAAAAATCTGGCAACTTCGATTCTTCAAGAATGTTTCAAGAACAGGTCCTTAAGGTTGACAAAAACATGCTGAAACCTTTTTGTACAAAGAAACATCAATATCTTGTTTTAATAAAGATGTAAATATAGTTTTCTTTCTTAACCCAAACTAAGATCCAAAATTTGAATCTTACTTAGCTTGCAACAGTCTAACGGTCTTACCAAGATCCAAACTGCTAAATAGCACAGATGAAGAGATCGGATATCCATTTTAACGGTCTCACAGTGGTCAAGGGTATTGGTTCTAGTCTCCTTATTTGATCTTGGAAAGATCTCATCACATATGCTAATTTTTGGGGTTGAATTATGTTGTAGATCCCAATTGGGCTAACCAATAAGGTAATCCCATTATCAAATTGTCTGGAAATTATCTATTGCCAGACATATGCTGAACAGGTAAAATGAAAAGCACTAATCAGGTTTGCTTATTATGCTGACATTCCTCTAGGCAAATCACTCTTCATTTAGCATTTACTGATTAAGAAAAGCATGAATTTACAGCTTCTTACATTCAAGGACATCTAAACACATCAGAAACCGAACCTGTAACAGTACCAGTTTTTGCTACAATTCCATAACAAAATGTGACTACAGTGATATTAGCTGAGAAATGAACACATAAAGGCTAGGCCAGTTCTACTACTGATGAATCTACCTCTGTTCTTGAGGGAGAATAAAGATAAGGCTTGGGAGGCATTTGCAAAGAGTCTAGTTTCCCTTCTAACATTTCCACAATCTTGCTCATAGATGGTCGATTTGAGGGATCAGTCTGTATGCACCATAAACTCACCATCACCATCTTTCTTGCACATTCTTTCTCCTCTTCATTCATTATCCCGATTAGTTGAAGCTCTTCATCCAGTTCAATTCGTTGATAGAGCCAATGTGGAAAGTAGATTTCACTCGTGCGATCAACTCCAACATCAACATTTTTTCTTCCTCCAACCATCTCTAGGACCATCATTCCATAGCTATAGACGTCAGACTTGTGAGAGACACCTCCCAAGTTTCTACAAACAATTTCTGGAGCAATATAGCCGATAGTTCCTCGTGGACCTAACATTGACACGATACTCTCCTGTTTCATGCACAGTTTGGCAAGACCAAAGTCAGAGATCTTCGGACAAAAATCTTCATCAAGCAGGATATTATGAGGCTTTATATCAAAATGCAAAATCCGAGTGGTACAACCACGATGCAAGTACTCCAATCCTCGAGCAATGCCTAGTGCAATTTTGTACAGTATTGGCCAACCCAATCGACGAACACTGTCGGATCTTTCCTCATAGATAAATTTTTCAAGAGATCCATTTGGCATGAACTCATATACGAGAGCTCTTTTGTGACCCTCAAAACAAAATCCCACAAGGCTCACGATGTTAACATGCGATGTTCTGCTAATACTTGCTACCTCATTAATGAAATCTTCACCACTGCCTTTTACTTTATTCAGGACCTTCACTGCCACTTGACTCCCGTTACACAAACTTCCTCTGTATACATTACCAAATCCTCCTTGGCCTAGTTTGCTTCTGAAGTGACCGGTGATTCTTTTGATGTCTGTATAATTCTATCTGTTTGGAGCGTATGAACCATAGTTCTTTAAGAATGCTTCAACTTTTTGGTGATCCTCAGCATTAGATTCCGAAAACCTGAGGCACTTGTACCGCATAATCTTTTCTCTGAAGTAGAAAAGTAGAATCAACAGTCCAACAGTTAATAAACCTGTACCTGTTGAAAAAAATGAAGTTATGCACCATCAGAGAATATAAATAGAACTAATTCTGAATGTCTTATGCACTATCAGGGAAGTAGTTTGCCTTTGGGACTATGCAAATAGTAGATATGTACAAAAAAATGCAGTCAGATATCTGTACGTTGTGTAATCTTAAGTACTTGCCTCTCCAGTTTTTTGAGATTTTACCACAATGAAGAAGAAAATCTAAAATGATATGCATGGAAATTCTGAAATAAGAACAAACTGTGCAGTTAATGTATTCAACTACCTGCTCCCAGAGTCAGTCCGAACTTTCTTCTAGTCGTTATTGCATCTAAAAAAAGAGGAAAAATACTATGAAATATTATCAATATTTGATACGAAAATGAGAAAGGACTTTATGAAATATGCACTAGACCTTGAGCATGTGGATTATTTTCTTGATGACCTTGAGCTTGTGGATTATTTGGATATGTACAATGAAATTTGTTGGCTATATCAGTCCGACATTGACCTCTGCCATAGTGACATCGGTAACAGCCCTCAGACAGTTTATATTCTACTAGAAAAGCGGGGCTTAACATATTGAACAAACCAACATCATCTGAAATCGAGCGGATTGGCAATCTGATAAGTGAACAGTTGGCAGGAAGATTGCCTGCTCGAACGTCTTCATCATCATCATCTCCAGGAAGCTTGTAGTATATGCTAAAACCTTTACAGCCATTGTACATTTTATAACCAGCAAAATGATCATTATTCTTCTGGGTAATGTTTGGGGTGCTCTTACTAGTGCTGTTGCATTTGAAGAAGTTGACAAAATTCATTGGGACGATTTCAAAAGAAATAGAAGGAGAGTTTGGTAAGAAGAAATAAGAGTTTGGAAGGGAGAAATTTTTGTTAAAAGCCTGGCACTTGTGTTGCATCAACTCGGCATGAAGCTTGGGGTCCCCCAGCTCAACTGTATAATTAAACGGATTTCCTAAAGCATAGTACCAATCTCCTTCAGGGAACAGTTGTATTCTTGGAAATGGTTTAGTATCACAACCAGATAAGAACATTATTCCACAGTCGGGTTGTGTCGAAAGAGAGAAAGGAAAGCTCAGGTCAGTAAGATTTCCACATGAAAAGGACTTTGGACAAGTTGAATCATTTCTGCCCTTTGTCTGAACTAAGTAACTGATCAGAAGAAAACTTATAAAAGAAGTGAAAGTCATCAGATCCTCCCACTGTTCAAGAAGAGGAAAAATTATGAATTCAGTTGTTCACTGCACTTGCATTTAATAGCACAGTGGATGTGGAAAACTTATATTAAGGGTTGTGACTTCAAAGACTTGAAGTCATCTTGCAATAACTAGACTACATTTTCAAGCCTAGTGAAAGAAAATGACTTGATATGTCTGGGATGACTTCATTTTAAGGTAACCTATTAACCTATATCAATATGAGTCCACCACACACCACAGGACTAGGTCCTTGTCACACTTTGAAGCAGTAAAAGCTAAAATACAGAACAAAATAACACGGATGTTTACATGGAAACCTCTTTGCTCAAGGAGGAAAACCACGACCTGCTCTTCACTATCTTCAAGCAACAAGTGAATACAGACTCCAATAGTCATACGAGGATCAAACTCTTATATTCTATACAAAATCCTATAACTTCATTAATAAGTCTAAGTAGCAGAAGTAGGTTTCTAGGGATGTAATCCCTACTACCTGTAACTTACAGAATGAGCCAAAGCAATAGCTCTATTGCCCACTATATCAACTAACTCTAGTCTAAGTTGTTCGGACTCTTCACTTTTGGTGCCGCACCCGTGTCGACACGATATGGGTGTGGGTGTGGGATCCGTGTCCAATTTGGTCAACCAATTTTGGGTACTTTGACCAAAATCGATGGGGAAAGTCCGGACAGTTTTAATGATTTCTGTAATCAATACAAAAGCTAAGGTGAAATTGAAGAATATTGAATACCTTTTATATAGAAATTTCTATGTCACTCCTTTTCCTTTAATCTCATTCCAAGATTCTCCTCATAATATCTCATAATTTAGGTTTTATAACTCTATTTTTAGATATTTTATTTATTTTTAGGCGAATCTCCGCACCCATATCCATACATGGATCCATATCCCCGAATCTTAAAAATTTGATCATGAAGGATCCAACCTCTAGATCTGCACCCGTATCGGACACCCGAGTCTGAGCAACTTAGACTCTAGTTAATATAGACTTCAATCACAAACTACACAGTTAACTCTAACTAATCTCATTGTTAGGTGGAATGATAAAGACAGTCTATTCCTTTATAGATTAGGAACGGATCTTACAAGTTGAAACACACAAGACACAAACTCTTGATCAACAACTAAAGACACACTTGATAACTCTATAAGGTCTCTTGCAGTTCTTGAAAGCTTGTGTTCTTCTTGAGAGAGACAAAAGGCACTTTTTGCTTGATGTATTTTGGTTGTAAGAACTGGTAGTTTCATGTCAACAAAGGTATATTATCCTCTGAACGAAACAACATAGTTTCCTCCCATTGACTGAGAGCTCTGTCCTCTTTTCCCGTGCTCACCAACCGTACCAGTGTTGGCAGCTTTACAGCTGTTGCCCATTTGTCCAGGAACATACGCAACTCATGGGACCAGGTGCCATTATTTGTTAGGATCATCAAAACAACAAAGTTACATAACCCCTCAGTCTCAAAATATTCATTTGGCCCATGGGACAGCCCAACCCAGCCTCGGTCAAGCTCAAAGGGCTGGCTTGATCCCATTTAATCACAATCCACCTCAACGATAAGCTAATCAGACTCAATGAAGTAAGGAAAAAAAGAGACAGCTAAAAGGTATGAAGAAAGTACTTGAATATATGAACATCAACTGGATACAGTACCAAAAAAATAAGAAAGGAAAGTATGTCTCATAAAATAGGATAGAGGGAGTAACGCATTCAGTTGTTGAAGAAAAATACAGCTTTTGCTAAAAGTTAACAACAAAATAAGACTAGGCCAGTTCTACCTCTGTTCTTGAGGGAGAATATAGGTAAGGCTTGGGAGGCATTTGCAAAGAGTCTAGTTTCCCTTCTAACATTTCCACAACCTTGCTCATCGATGGTCGATTTGAGGGATCAGTCTGTATGCACCATAAACTCACCATCACCATCTTTCTTGCACATTCTTTCTCCTCTTCATTCATTATCCCGATTAATTGAAGCTCTTCATCTAGTTCTATCCGTTGATAGAGCCAATGAGGAAAGTAGATTTCACTCGTGCGATCAACTCCTACATCAAAATTTTTTCTTCCTCCAACCATCTCTAGGACCATCATTCCATAGCTATAGACGTCAGACTTGTGAGAGACACCTCCCAAGTTTCTGCAAACAACTTCCGGAGCAATATAGCCTATTGTACCTCGTGGGCCTAGCATTGACACGATACTCTCCTTTTTTATGCATAGTTTGGCAAGACCAAAGTCGGAGATCTTTGGACAAAAATCCTCATCCAGTAGGATATTATGAGGCTTTATATCAAAATGCAAAATCCGAGTGGTACAACCACGATGCAAGTACTCCAATCCTCGAGCAATGCCTAATGCAATTTTGTACAATATTGGCCAGCCTAATTGGCGAACCCCGTTAGATCTTTCCTCATAGATAAACTTTTCAAGAGACCCATTTGGCATGAACTCATATAAAAGAGCTCTTTTGTGACCCTCAAAACAAAATCCCACAAGGCTCACTATGTTAACATGTGATGTCCTGCTAATACTTGCTACCTCATTAATGAAATCTTCACCATTGCCTTTTAGTTCATTCAGGACCTTCACTGCCACTTGACTCTCGTTACGCAAACTTCCTCTGTATACATTACCAAATCCTCCTTGGCCTAGTTTGTTTTTGAAGCGACTGGTAATTCGTTTGATGTCTGCGTAGTTGTATCTTTTTGGAGCATATGACCCAGAGTTCTTCAGAAATGCTTCAATATTTCGGTGATCCTCAGCTCTAGATTCCCAAAACCTGAGATTGTTGTGCCAGAAAATCTTTTTTCTCAAGCAGAAGAGCAAAATCACGACTCCGATGCAAGAGAAAACTGCAAATGTGGGGGAAAAA